GCCATCTCTCCTCCTCACCATTAACTTATGTTTAAAGAAGACCACTGAGTCCTCAACATGACACAAAGTTAGTTCAGTTTTTTCCACTTCTGGGTGCTTTGAAGCCAGTTGCCTGAACTTCTCCCAGTAGTAAATCACATCTTTCAACTGTTTAGCTGATATATGGTCATCACTTTCAATTTCCTCCTCACCACTGTCAGCCTCTACCTGTAACATCTCATCCAGTTGCTTCAAGTCATCAGGAGTAAGTTCCTCCTCATGAGACATCACAAGCTCTTCCACATCATCCTCCTCCACTTCAAGGCCCAATGACTGACCAATGGACACAATCTCCTGGTCCAACTCTGTTTCTTCCTCAAATCCCTCAAAATCATGGACTACTGATGGCCACAGTGCTTTCCATGAAGAATTGAGGGATCTAGTGGAGACTTCTTGCCATGATGACACAATCAATTTTACAGCCTTCAGGATGTTGAATTGTGTCTTCCAGAACTGTTTCAGTGTTAGTTCAGGATCATTGGAAGTTGCCTGATGACACCTAAACATTTTCTTCATGTACAACTTCTTGAAGTTGTTGATCACATTCTGGTCCATTGGCTGTATGATTGATGTAGTGTTTGGAGGCAAAAACAACACTTTCACAAAGTCAAATTGATACTCCAAATTGCTGGCTAGGTCAGGGTCATGACCAGGTGCATTATCCATGAGGAGAAGAGCCTTTAAAGGGAGTTTATTGGTGGTTAGGTAGCTCTTGACAGAAGGGCAAAACACATCAACAGCCCATTCATTAAAGAGCTGTCTTGTCACCCATGCCTTACAGTTGGACTTCCAATAAACTCCAAGCTTTGTTCTTACCACTTTCTGTTGCTTGAACACCCTGGGGTTTTCAGAGTGGTAGACAAGCATAGGCTTTGGTCGGAAATCCCCTGAAGCATTGGCACCAAGCAATAGAGTGAGACGGTCTTTCATGGGTTTATGCCCAGGTAAAGAGGCTTCATCTCTGGTGATGAATGTTCTTTTGGGCATCTTTTTCCAGAACAGCCCAGTTTCGTCCACATTGAACACTTGTTGTGGAAGATAATTTTCTTCTTCCATCAGTTCTTTAAATTCATCTAAAAACTTTGCTGCCCCTTCCTTATCAGCACTAGCAGCTTCACCATGCCTAGCAACACTGAAAATGTCACTTCTTTTCTTAAATTTTTCGAACCAGCCTTTGCTGGCCCGAAAATCTTCAAATTCTGTGCCTGAAGAACCAGGTTGATCTGTCTTTAAATGTTCGTAAATCTCCCTGGCTCTTTCACAAATGAATTCAGTAGAAACTGAATCACCTTTCATCTGTTTTTCCCTAATCCAGATGAGAAGTAACCTCTCAGTTTCTGCAATTAGGGATCTACTTTTAAACACTCTTGTAGATTTCTCTCACTTTCACTTCTTTAAATTTGTCTTTCTGTGCAAGAATTGTCAACACAGTTGATGCCGACATGCCATATTCTTTGCATAGCGCATTTGTTCTAATGCCTTGTTCATGTTTTTTTTTTATTTCCTGCTTGGTTTGGATTGAAATCGCTTTTCTTGATCTCTTAGGCCCCATGCTGGATTCAAACAATGTCAACACGTGTTTTTTAAAGTTAAACTTGTTGTAAATAAAGAATATTTTCTTTAAAATAACACTGCACTGCGCTATATATTGTCAATATGTAAAATAAATTTCCAAATGACCAATAATTTGCTTGGAAACACAGAAAAATAGCAATTAGTTGAAGAGAGTCTCAAGCAAGATGTTGCCTCCAGTGAAAACAGAGAGAGACTAACGCTTGTTTGCTGTGTTAAGAGGCTGGATGCCGCGTATTAAACTAGTCACTTTACCTTCAATTACAGTGACCCCTCGGTTAACGAACTCAATCTGTTCCAGAAGGTCGTTCGTTAACCGAAACCGTTGTTTCAATGGGTTTTTGGGTAATTGGTTCCAGCTCACCGAAAATTTCCTAAATTCAACAAAAATGGTAGAAAAGTTCACTTTCTTTGAGGTGTGTATGTAGAAGGCTCCTGGATGATGATGATGATGATGATGATGGGAATTAGAATGGGGGTGGAGGAGAACGAAGAAGAGAAGGCATTGGGGTGGAAGAGAAGTCACCCCATGGCACCATTTCACCCATAAAATTTTAGTTCTCTTGGTGTATTTCAAGATTATTTTCTTTAAACCAACACTGCACTGCATTATATATTGTCAATATGTAAAATATATTTCAAAATGACCAATAATTTGCTTGGAAACACAGAAAAAAAGCGTTTAGTTGAAGAGAGTCTCAAGCAAGATGTTACCTCCAGTGAAAACAGAGAGAGACTAACGCCTGTTTGCTGTGTTAAGAGGCTGGATGCCGCGCATTAAACTAGTCACTTTACCTTCAATTATGTTCAATAATTGTTAAAATGACTAAAAAATTGAATATTAAACTTTTAAAATTATTGAATAGTATAAACTTCTTGATATTTACTG